CTCGAAACAATCCTAATCTGACCAAGGAATTGGTCCGTCGAAGTCCTTATCTACAAAAACGACCCAAAAAGCAACAAAAAGAATTCCAATGAATTGTATGGGCGGTAAGTTCATTTGTAAAATGAATCTTTGAAAATATGTTGTTCTGTGATCTTACATTTCCTCTATCGTAGATATATTGATGACATCTTCTTAACATTAAATGACTCAGTTGAAAAACTACAAGAAATGTTAGAAGAAGCCAACAAATGTCATCCAAATATTAAATTAACCTATGAAATTGGAAATGATGTGTCTTTTCTTGATGTTAAAATAAGAAATGAAGATGGAAATTTAATTACATCAGTTTATCATAAAGAAGCAGCTGAACCTTATGTTGTACCATTCAAATCCGATCATCCACGTCATATATTTCAGAATATTATTCAATATGCACTTCTTCGCACTTTACGTTATTCATCAACATTACCAGAATTCAATCATGAACGACGAACTATTAAATTAATGTTAATCTACAACGGGTATACTATCAAGAATTTTATCAAATTTTCTTTATACTCCATATTTTTTTTATTCCATAGATATCCAATAAGATACATTTACCGACATTTTAACAAATTTTTCAACATATATAACATAACATCAACATCTATTTTACCAATGATTCATGATAAAAATGAATATCTTCTCCTACGTCATCAATTATTAGCACTACCAACGCCAAGTGAGCATGCACGTGCATCGAGAATAGCAAGCCAAATGGACTACAACAATCCACCATCAACATCTGATCCATTAGTCCAATCAAAACTATTAAAATGGCAAAAAGAATCGAGTTCACTAAAGCAAATAATAATTCATTATACATATGAGCAACGTCTGGCTTACTACAAATCAAAGATTCATCAAAAATGGAACGATTTATTTCAGGAAACATCAGTGATGGAAACAAAACTTATCGTGGGTACTCGAAACAATCCTAATCTGACCAAGGAATTGGTCCGTCGAAGTCCTTATCTACAAAAACGACCCAAAAAGCAACAAAAAGCCGACAATCAAACAGAAAATCAGTCCAAACTTTTCCTTTAAACTTTTCGCACTACTATACTTTCTTTCCACTAGTCTGTATCCATAAAAACCCGTTCACAAACATTACTTTCAATTGTAAATAAAAACATTCAAACAAATGCTAATCTTACACAAATATAAAAATAAACATTTTCCAAAATAGCAGCTAAAACAAATTTCAGAAATTCTGGAAAAAAACAATAACCTCTATCAGCTCAAAGCTCCATCTAAAACCTGTACAGATCAAGATATTTTGTTTGTAATTCTTCTGATCATTTAAAACAAATATAACAGAGTCAAAGCCAACTGACGAGACCTCTAGCAGGGTCGAAATCTGGATCTTGGCAAGCTGTACTCACCCTTACCCTCAAGATAGTATTGATTCGAATTAATTTTTGGATCTTTTATACGAATACTTGTGCCACTTGATAAGATTCAAGCAACATCGAATTACCTGGTAATGTGGTAGCTATACTCACCCTCACCCTCAGGCGTTTCAGCGACATGGGATGCACAGCAGCATCGAAAAGGATGCGTAGGCAGCCATTCTCATGCTAATAGCCAAGCAATATTAAACAAAAGGCCTAGCATAAAAAGGCGACGGGCTTGTTTCGAAGCTGTTCTACAGTGAAGTTCAGCTTCAATGGTCCATGGCTTTCATCGTGTAGCAGTTATGTAAAAAATTTGTTTTTAATTTAAAATTAATAATCATAGGTATTTTTAATGTAATTTTAAAGATAAAAGATAGAGATTGATAGTGAATATACTAGTTTTTATATTGAATGAATAACAAATTAAAAATATAATAAATGAAATTTCCAATAAACTAGAGCTTTCGGCATATCAAATGCCATCATTGGAATTAATTATTCGTACTTCATCTACAGTATCAATTTCAATAGAACAACAGCGAAATCAACTGAACAGTACATTTTCTCTACTGATGATGGCATTTGATATGCCGAAAGCTCTAGTTTATTCAAAAATTTCATTTATTATATTTTTAATTTGTTATTCATTCAATAGGGTACTCCACCATGGGAATCGCAATCTTGCGACTTCTGTGCCGGTCGCAAGTCCGGAAAGAGGAGCAGCGTTGGATAGAAAGGGGTGCAGATACCACTATCTGTATAAAACTCAAAGACGGCAGAAACCAAAAGATGAAAGTCAATGATCTTAATCCATACGGGCTCGGACGTCGCCCGG